GACTGCATTTGTCTTTTGCCGAAGCTCAGATTCTGGCACAAGATCGGGAACATTGGAAGCTCTGTCTGACGCGTCTGCCTCCGCGACCCGAAAGGAGAAGCGGCGATGGAAGACGAAGAAGCACTGATTGCAACATCGTATAAGGAAACTCCCTTGTCCAAAAGCAGAATTGTCTCTACTTTCGTCCTTCAGATTACGTAAGTGTTGGAGAAGGCAGCAGACTATTGTAAACAACGATTTCAACAGCTCAGACGCCCGGTTCGCAGAACCTTTCTTTCTAGTCGCTAAGCTTCATGCGAACTCATTCTTCTTCAGAAATTAGGCTGTTGTTCCTGCGACATGTCTGACAAAATCTTGCGCTTCTTTCTCCTGCCTATTCTTCTGATTTACTGATCCAGTGACGACGCGACAAATCTTGTCAAGTTTTCACGTTTTATTACTGCATTAACAGTGAAATGCTTTAATGCACTTGCAGAGGAAATTCTTCTATGAGAACAGTAAAATAATGTTTTCGAATAGTCCAACATACTTTACGAAAATAAACCAATTTTGTTTAAAATGACCGAAAATATAATTGCACATTTTTCAAGGCTGGAAAGGTAGTTTTGAATGTGCTTTATTAATTTCTGCGGAATTGACTTTCGGAAAGGAAGGATATAACAGCTTCATACCAGCGATTAATCATTATATTTATCATTATCTGTTGTATATGTATCGTCTCTCATTAGAGAACCACGTCGAATACCCAAACGGCTGAATGGGATTTTCGAACTTGCAGTGGTTGAAAAATCTCAAATTATTCTTTTTGTCTGCAATGGTTTTTATAAACGATTTCTACAAACGATCTCGTTCCATACGTTCGCAAACATCAAAAGCAAAGGTCCGGAAAACATTGACCGGCAACGAGGCTGTCAGAAAGCCTACGAAGTTTAGCTAAGAAGAAAATTGCATCGCAAGTCAACGGGCCATTCACTTCGTTTCAATGTCACTCTACTTAAAGGAAAGATACCTCGCAAAAGAGAATACGATGAAATCTTTCATAACGGTATCAACAGATATCAGCACCAAAGAATATATATAATTTATATAGTGCAATATCAGAGAAAAACTTTTCAGGACATTCCAGGCTT